GTTTCTGCATGAGAAATGCCTGAAATCATAAATTTTAAAGGCTAATTTCTCATATATTGTTCTTCAAATAGCTGTACGCTTAAATGCTTGTAACTTCAGAAGGAAATGTCGGATTTAAACGATTTTTTTACCATTTTATAGCTCTTATTTTACTCTTTAAACCTGTAATAATAACTCAAAATTGATTTTTGCAACGAGTGACTGGTTTGGCTTGTCTTTGCCACAAATATAAGATGTTCTTACTCAATGAGTTTCTGAGAAACCTTGCTTGTCTGATGGTTACTAAGCACATGCTCATGAATATGCAACGATGCTAACCGAACTGCGACATCAAACTTGAGTTCAGAAGCAAACCGTTCATTTATTACGTCATTGCAGCACTTAAATAAAATGACAAAAGTGGCATAATGTATAACAATGATACGTACGTTAGTTATGTTATATAAAAACTTAGACCAGCTAAATTTATTCAAACAATAATTATATTAAATAATATAAAATTAACAATAAAATCAAACTAGTGAAAGTAAATGATTTAATAGGTAATAATAGGATCACTCAATTTTCATACATTTTTATTTTCATGTTAATAAGAAAATAAAATACAGTAAAATTAATATATAAAATATGTAATATATAAAAGATATTATGTATCCTAAACCTGCAAGCAGAAATATTGGAAATTATTTTTATTTTTATGTTAAATTAAAAAGATAATTAAATATAGTACAATTAATACATAAAATATATAAAGGATATAATTGTATAGAATATATAAATGATATCAATGTATCCCCTAACATGCAAGTAGATATTCGAAAACATTTATATTTTTATGTTAATATATTAGGATAATAAAGTACAGTATTACTATATGAAGAATATAAATGTATCACTAACCTGCAAGTAGAAGTATTCAAAAGCATTTTCATCGATAGTGAGTAAATCGTAAGCATCCTTGGGCACAAAGGCAATACGGAACAAGCACTTCCAATGCTGAGCACCAGGTCTGGAGGCAATCTAGTCAACGGATACAAAAATAAAATCATTTGCAACTCATCGGGATAAATTATCATGTCATAATTCATCATATTTGTATAAAAATGTTATCTTGATAGCATTGTGAAATTTCAAGTTGGAATAATAATAATAATAAATAATAAGTTAAAAATTAACGTCTCTAGTTAAAAACATATACCAGTATATTTAAACTATTGTAGTCACATAGTGTACCATGGCAGTGATCAACCTGTAGTTCTAATATCTATGTATTCTCAATGAACAGAATATAGATTATGGATTGGATTGGATTTATTCTGTGTAAACACCAAGGAAAAGCAAAGAAAGTCTAGAAGAAGACCTATTTTCAGTAGGATCCTTCTGGTGGTGATTAGGCAGTACACCAGGAGACAATCCCCTACTCTCTTCCGGAGAGTGTACTGCGTTCTTTAATGTGCACATAGGCCATAAATTCACAAGGGACAAACGGTTTATACGCCTTATCCGAACGACAGAAGAGGCAGCGATGAGAATTGAACCAGTACCTAAATATCTCCACGGTTCAGCACACCACAAGATTAGCCAACTGAGCTAAGCTGCTCTCGGTAAAGGAATATGTATGAGATACAGAGTTTAACTGTAATTAAAACTAAAAAATCTGGACAGTTGATATACTTTGAATAGACTTTGATGCAATAGTTACTTTTTATAGGATATGTTAAGCCCTTTAATCGCTGGAGCTTCGCACCTAGGCTGACTGCTACTGTACATTTTTTGTTACGAGGGGTCTTTTGGTATAGAATAGGGCAATTTCAGTAGTTCGTTTATCCAGGTATACATTCATGAAGTAGAAATTAGTAATAAATGTCATACTGCCCTCATATTCTAACATAAAGATATAAATGATCATTCATGAGTGAAATATGACCTCAGAAGCATTCATGCATAAAATATGACCTCAGAAAGGAAAATAAATGAGTTCTTCCAGACCAATGTAATCTCCATTTAACTCATTTGAAATCAAGATTAACTTTTGAAAATAAAACACTAAAGCTGAAGAGTATTAAGAAAGTATACTATATGGTAACATAATTCATCACCAGCTAATATATTCAAATATATGTATAATATTTTATATTATTCATTATCTTGGAAAAATGAAAAGCATTTTCCTAGTGTAATTCAAAAACACCAGAGGGCATCTATGACTCAACAATAACTAATCTTTATACTGTATATTAATCATTATCTTATTTTTTTTATATAAAATTAAATAAAATATTAATAAATACTTATCTACTGACATTTTGAAGAGTTTCAGCTTCATGGAGTAAAATAAATTTTTGGTGGGAGGTGCTTCGCATGTCTTGCATCACAAGAGCAAAATACTGCATACAAGTTATTCCCAACTTTTCTTGAAGTGTGTTTAACACATCCTAGGGGAGAAAAACATCACAAGATTTGAACCCAGAATGCATGTAACTTAAGGTAGGCACTAACCACCATGCCACAGCTATATAAATTCATCAATCAATAATCTTGCATTATCCTTTTGTCAATTAGTGTAGGGCAACCACTTGCAATTACAATTACTTTTATACTTTGACATCAACAATGATCTATTATGATTTTGAGGTGTGAAGACATTAATACTTTAATATATGAATGGACTTAAACACTTGATGTATTCTTAACCACTCCAAAATTAGTGGTGCAACCAGTTAAAAATGCATGAGAGATGGAGAACATGTCTACACTTAAATATACACATTAATTGATTTAATGTGAAGGGTCACGCTTGGTTCGGTGACAGTCACCAAGCGGGATGAACCTGGTTCAACTTTGCCAACTGCATTGCTAGCTGCCCTGACCGGGGAGTCACCCAGATTTATCTGCAATGCAATCAGCAAAGCTGAACCAGGTTCCCGGCGACTGTCACCAATAGGGTGAGCGATTCTACGGAAACAAAGCTTGAAGTTATATATTATTGTGTAGAGAAGCTGTTGCTGCATTATATAAGATAAATGAAAGGGTTTGCACATGTCTTACCTTGACATTGGTTTTACTATCATATTTAAAAGACTTTGTCTGGTTATTTTCCAGATAAACCTTCAAAACGCTTGGTAGATACACCAGGCTTGCAGGAACTTTACCCTAAAAGGTTGAAAGAATACTTCAAACTTAAGTATGCCCATATATAATCATGATGTGCCTATATGATCATGATATGTCATCATGACCATATATAGTCATGATGTGCCTATATATGGTTATGTAGTTACAGTATCATCATGACCATATTTAGGCATGGCACATGTTTTTGTAAAATAAAATTTGAGAGTCTAGACAGGGCTTTACACATGTGTTTATCTTTGACAATTGTTTGGAAATAACATTTAAAAAATAAAATACATTGAATGAATTTCCCATCAAATATGAAATTTTGATTGCTATATGATTAATGCTATATAGTTATAACTGTACATGCTCGTATCCAAACTGCACATGGTCATTTTCAAACTGTGCATGCTAGAATCCAAGGTCAACTGAGGTCAATCAACATAAGTCTACGTTGTGTGTATGGTATTTATATCAATTGACCTCTATACGGGCATGTGCAGTTTAAACTATGAATTAGCTTGTTACTATCAACTTTATTTCACATAATATCTGAAGGTGAAAATTAATTGATTTTATTTAGTGGATTTAATAGACAGAAGTTAGTGGAATTTAATTGGGATGTGTCTCAATTTGCTGCGGTTTGTTCAAGCTCATTAACCTTGTGAAATCACCTCTTAAATACTGTTCATTTGTCAAAAACCACTTCCAATACACCTATGAATAGAAACAGCCTGTGAAATGTGAAAGGCATCCAGCTGGTAGCATTGAGTAGGATTTTCAGAAAAAGCGTTTAATAACATCGACGGATGTCTCATTTGATCAATGAGTTAGACATTCTCTACAAAACACAGCAGTTCTTTTTAAAACTATCTATCATGTGTGTACCACAAGTATTATTGTTATTACTTCACCAGGCAATATTTCGCCAATGTGCACATGGAATAAACATGCTAATGTCTGTTTAAAGTTATGCCCACTGTTATGTGCCCATATATAGTAATATTATGGCTATATATGGTAATGATGTGATGTCATGACCATATTTAGACATAATAGTCTGGACAGGGCTTTACAGAAAGATTTTTATTTATAATCATTTAATTTAATTTAATTTAAAACTAATATTAATTTCTTATCATTTATGTTTACAGTAAGGTGTATAAGTCAAAATGTTGAGAATATATACTTATTCTTGTTTCTACTGTATATCATTTTAAATACTTGCTCTAAAGCTTGTGTTTTAATTAATTATACCCTGACTAGCTCAATCTCTCTAATGTCCACTAGCTATTCCAATCATTTCCACATCTTTTTAGCGCTTTGAACATCCTATTTAAAGGATACTGGCACTATCCAAATCTACGCTATTAAGATGATCAAAATACTAATATTATCATCATCATTATTATTATCATTATTAATCCTAAAATTACTGCTGTATTTTCAGATTTAATACAGACAGTTTATGTGTTGATTTTTGACGTATATGTTATTCTGCTTCTACATGCCAGGCTGCATCAAACTTAAAATAATAATAATAATAATAATAATAGTTTTTTTTTTACTTATTTATTTACTTTTTTTAAATTTATTTACCTGTATAGCTGTCAATGCCATTCCTTCTGGTGATTCTGCGAAACGTACCCTTGTTGGTTTGTTTTTTAATTTGTGTTTTTTGGTAGCACTCAGGAAAGAAGATTTCAGGCCTGTCTTATCAATGTACGGTTGAATAACAGTCAGTCGTATAGATTCAGTAGAATTTCTAAATGAAATAATAATAAAATAAATAATCCCTAAATAAAACACAATCGTTAAGGCCAACTCAAGACAGCTGCATACGCCACAGCCCAATGCATTCAACAGTATCATCGCACCAGGTCTGTGTGCATTAAACACATCACATCATCATGTCCCAGAATTATAATAATGTTTAATATACAGTTCACCCTCTGATTCCAGACCACCATTGGGACCTGAAGATTTGGGGTTTTCTTGAGGTTGGTCTCCAATTAGACGGCTAGCTTTGTGTTAAAAGGTTGAAGATTGTGATTTGGGTTTTTGGAAAAGTGGTCTCAGAATCAGAGGGGTCTCGAATTGGAGGGTGCACTCTACTCACAAGGACCCAAGATGGTTGGGGCTGCGTATATGATGCTGAGTTATGTAAAATATAAGTGGCATTTCCAATTCATGTGTGATTTATATATTCATAATACAAATAATATAAATAATTACAATCTGCCCTTAATTTTCACTATTGCATGAACAAAATAAATTTTAGTATATTTCCAATATTTCTTTTTTATTTCACAAAAATCCAATGGCAACATACATTGGCCATAACTTTTGATATAAAATGTTACATGTACATCAAAATCTCAAAAATAAGAGGAAAAACGATACAATAACAATACAAAATAAATACTGAATAGTGAATATTTTTATGGGAGCAGTCGATGTAGAGGTTAATGATTCATGTTATGTTGATCAATTTTAAAGTGCTTTGTGTTTCTCTTGCATCCTTCTGCAAGCCACATATATCAGGGATGTAGTTATTAGGTGGCTGAGGTGGGCGGGGCCACTCAGCCTTGAAGTTTCCCACCCAGTCTAAAGCAAATTTCATGGCCTTCACTCACCTTATTAACCCACTTTTCCATCCTTAAAATCCATGCTTATTATTTTGAGTTTACCNNNNCCCACCCACCCTTAAAATATTTAACCCTTAGTTTACAATAGCTACAACCCTGATATATCTATGTTTGTCTTTCCAACAGAGGACTGTATGTAGGTATCTGATACGATACTTTTATACATATTACTGTTAAGTATTTCAATACAAAATTTCTGATTGTTTTTTGTACTACTGTATTTCTTTATGAAGAATAAGGAGCAAATCTTATTTGGGCTTCATTTTTGTATTAGCCAAATAAATATTATTTATTATTATTATTATACTGAATATCATATTTATTACCATCACAAGAGGCAATGGTATAAAAAAAAAACAATGGGGTTTATAACTTCATTATCATATCCATAAAAATATAAACTCACCTAATTTTATTAATAATGTACTCTCGATCGCACATCCTAACGTTCTCATCATCAATCCTGCAAATCTCATCGCCAGGAAGTAATTTATCCACAGATGGACCTCCTGTCAATAAAAAAAAAACAAGGCTCTACTTTTAATATCATCCTTCATTCTTAGCATACATAACCAGTAAAACCAGTGTATAACCAGTAAAAATGTTGAATTGCACGTACCCGGTAGTACTGGGTATATGAAAATAATTCTTTTTGAAATTGTTCCTGTACTGCAGGCAGCCTGTCTAGTTCTTTCTATGAACTAAAGGTGATTTCTACTGAATTATATGGAGTAATGACTAATTGTTGCGAAAAACTCATCTTACCAGTGATTTTTTAGAATTTTCTTTTTATGGTTCTGCCGACAAACATCAATTTTTATCTGTTTTTGAATGATGAAAATAATTCAAATTATTGATATTTTTAATGTATCTTCATCATTATCTAGTGGGAAAAAAAACAGTATCCCATAAGAATTTCTTTCTTTTTTACAGATTTTATATGAAAAATGGCATTTCAAATATGGCCGCCTAATGTTACATGACCACCTAATTAAAAATTTCAATTTTTTTCCGTAGGCCAACCTCTTTCCCACACAAAAAACTATTTCAAAAGAATCTCTTTTAAAAGTTTTTTTTTTTGGTATTTATTTTAAAATACCCTTCTTCCTAAAAAGGCCAAGCACAGGGGATGTATTTACCTATAGAAGTGAAAGGGTTAAAACTATATTTACTAGTAATCATGTTTAAGTCCTGTCCAGACTATCAGATTTTATTTAACAATGTCAAAGGCCAAGCAAACATGTAAAAGGCCAAGCACAGGGGATGTATTTACCTATAGAAGTGAAAGGGTTAAAACTATATTTACTAGTAATCATGTTTAAGTCCTGTCCAGACTATCAGATTTTATTTAACAATTTCAAAGGCCAAGCAAACATGTCAAAGGCCAAGCAAACATGTAAAAGGCCAAGCACAGGGGATGTATTTACCTGCAGCAGTCAAAGGGTTAAAACTATATTTACTAGTAATCATGTTTAAGTCTTATCCAGACTATCAATTTTATTTTACAATAACATGCCTAAATATGGTCATGATGACATCACATCATGACCATATATAGGCACATCATGACTATATATGGTCATGATGACATCACATGACCATATATAGGCACATCATGACCATATATGGGCATACAAGAGTTTTTGTCAAAGAAAATGTGATACATATAATATGATAGTGTGGACAAAACTGTAGACTTTGTATTACTTCAGAAGATTTTCATCATGAACTGGTAATCAGATCAATACTATGATACGAATTAAAAACTGTGCCACAAGGAATCGTTCTTGGTGTGCTAGACACGGAATTGTTTCCGTGCCAAAGACTGGTAGCACAATAAAAGAATCCGTATTTTGTGCGCCTCGTCATAGGAAATTTTTCTTAGAAAGAAACGTTTCTGGAAACTTTTTTCTTTTTGTTATTAAACAGCCAGTTGAATCACACCCTTAGCATGCATTTGTTAGATGCAATTACCTTCCATTCTTATCATAAATTTACAGTAGTTAGATGTAATTCTCCCTTTACATACAATCACTGTACTACTTGCATGTCAATCACCTTTTCTTCTTCTAATAGCATACATTAAATAGAGCTGTGTAATTACCTTTATCTATTAACATAAAGTTTACAGCTAGATGTGACCGGCTAGATGTGACCGGCTAGATGTGACCGGCTAGATGTGACCGGCTAGATGTGACCGGCTAGATGTGACCGGCTAGATGTGACTGGCTTGCCTTATTTCATCACATACTTATTGACAGTTGTTTCTTTATAATAGTTATTGGATGTCACTACTTCTTAACATAATTTAATGTGTATTCGATCACATTTGTCTTCATTAATAGCATACAATAGCAGTATGCACCTTCCTTTTCTAAATATAAATTCCTGTATAAACAATTATTCGATGTTGTTTCTTCTTAATATAATATATAATGTGTATTTCATCTCTCTTTTTTACTTCATTTTCTGGTTAAACCAGCATAAATTATTTTTATTTAGATCTCGATAATTTTGAATGTAAATCTTTCAAGCATGACCGTCATCAATTAGATGCTGCTAGGTCACATGACTTGTTCACATGGTAACTTGCCATATCATCGCGGTAGGATTTGTGTTTCTTACAATCGAAGCATGATAAATATCAGATTCTAGGTACAACACAATCACAGTGTCTACACGTAGGTCTACGATCTTAAATCAATATGATCCTTTAAACATTTAATTCCTAGCGCAAATAAACAGACTTAAAATCTTGCCTTTTGAAATCCATTACATACATTACATGATTCACAGAATTTAATTTTTTAAAAATGCCCAATTGCAAAGGAAACATGAACTTTAGGTAATTACTTGGCTTGATACTTCCCAGCTATAAAGTTCATGTCATGATCTTGAAATTATTGTAACCTCTGTACCATGTCAATAAATCATAGATGTTCAAATAATACTAATATTATTACTAGTATTATTCTCTGTTGCTTTTAATGATAATACATCACTCTCTAGTAGAAAACTTCCCTTATGAATCAATCACTCAATTAAATGATCATTTGTTTGTTACAAAAAATGTTAGTAGTAATAATCATCTTTATAGTATTTATCATTTTCTCATCTGCCTTTCAAATCAAATAAAGCGCTGTTTACATTATATCTTTACTTGTTAACTAACCTTCAGTGACTGAACGGACGACAACCGGGCGTTCGCTTCCAGCGATGAACCCAAATCCAAGAGCGCTGTCACGAATTAATGTAACTTCACGTTCAACAGGTTGAATATCATCCGCTTCAAAGGGATCAGCACGCGTGCAAGCTTCGGTTACATGACTGAAACAAATAAATGCAAACCTACAGTGTATGATACTTAAAACATGAATTATCATCTTTCTAAAGTTTTAATTATATATAAAAACTAGTATGTATTTGTGGAATTGGCTGGGGACAATGGCAGGGAAGTGTTCAATGTCATTAACGTAATTTCCAGATAATTCTTTTTCACTAATTAGTCTTTATCATTCCTGAAATTTGCACATGAATTATATATTGTCTCTGTTAGGCAAATTAAGACAGACAGATTATTAGCAACAGAGATTAATCTATTTTTGTTATTTACTATTTTAATGTTTAATAGATTATTTGATTGTAAAAAATATAGAATTATATTAAATTGTCTCTGTTTTGCACATGAATTATATTAAATTGTCTCTGTTAGGCAAATTACGACAGACAGATTATTAGCAACAGAGATTAATCTATTTTTGTTATTTACTATTTTAATGTTTAATAGATTATTTGATTGTAAAAAATATAGAATTATATTAATAAATTGTCTCTGTTAGGCAAATTACGACAGACAGATTATTAGCAACAGAGATTAATCTATTTTTATTATTTACTATTTTAATGTTTAATAGATTATTTGATTGTAAAAAAAATAGTATTTCTGTTTCTGCTGTAAATTTACTACTTTTTATATACATTTTAAACAAAAATAAAGATATAAAGATTTGGGCTTTTTTTTAAAAGAGAAACATTTTTTTTGGATTAGGAAAACAATAACAGAGTACAGAAAGTGTGTGGTTAAGCGCTCTTTGTCAGAAGTTCACAACTTTACTTACTCAATGTAATATGGCTTTCTTTGTTCGTCAATAGCTGCTTCCCAACCGTATGGTAAATCCGCACGGAGATTCCAACTGCCGGCCGGAGGTAGCCACTGAGATACCCTGTCTCTGTGACTGAAAGATAATGAAGACACAAATTCAAATTCTCTCTATAGTGGTATGTTAGTAGAGCACTCAAGTGGTGCGGCACTATCAACAGTTCCAGGTTCAACTCTTGAACATTTTTCTCTTTTTATTTTGTCAGTCAATAACAGTGACCATTGTCCAATTAATTGTTACCCATGCAGAGATTTTGCCCGAATGAAGTTAAAGATCAAGGATGTTCCAAATTGATGGTAAACCATGTATCAATGGGATGAGGTAGAGTATGCGGCATGTCAATCCATGCAATAGGAAGGGGTGTGTTACGTTTTGAGTGATGACAAATCCCAATGTTTTCACATACAGAATACAATATTGTATACAATTCAATGTTTATTTACTTTATGAGTCATAATGGTTTACTATTTACTATACTGTATTTACACATTCCATTCTGTATTGTACACTGTAATAACATCCACAAAATGCATGTACATGGTTTAAGCTGGCCAAATAAAAATATCTTCTATATCTTATACGATGATTGATAATGATGACAATGATTATGATGATGATGAATGCTGAAAATGAAGATAGATGAAGATGATGATGACTGCTGAAAATGAAGATAAATGAAGATGATGAATACTGAAAATAAAGATAGATGATGATGATGATGATAATGATATGTCGATTATTAGGATGATGATGACTATGATAATGATGTTAAAAATTAAAATGAAAAAAAAAAATCTTTTTCTACCAATTAATAATAATTGCTATCATTTTGAAGTTAGAGAACCTGCTTTGAGGAACCTTGGGTGGTGATATGCATTATGAATATCATGTAATTAATAAGTAGACGGTATATAAAGCAAAAGTAGAGAGTGTACTTGCTGTTGGATGGGAAGGAAATTTAAAAAAGTATTAAAAAATAATATTTTATTAATAAGTATATTATTAAGTATATTACTATATTATATATGTCCAGTGTGTTTATTGTTGAGAAGGCTTTTTGAGGTGGCAGTTATTCAAGGGAAGGCATCTATTCAAGGGAAGCTTAACCCCTCGGAGTGTCTATTTGAGGGAGATTCTAGAGGGGAAGGAAAACTTATTTGAGGGAGATGTTTATTCCTAATGTGGTTCTAAAGGAGGGAGGGAAAGTTTGTTTGAGGGGGAGGCGTTTATTCAAAGTGAGGCACTTATTTGAATAAATACGGTAATTATTGCACAGCTAGGAGCTTATTCCACAAACTGCAACTCAGATCGTGTACACAACTTTAGGAAATGACTAGGCAGTGTATAAATCCTATTGACGCATCCTGACAAGCCTGCAAACATCCTTGTGTTCTACCACATGAACGAGGACTATTCTAATGCAATGACACACAAAAAACACAGAACAATGACGAAAAATGAATTATGCACAAGTTTGATTCAAAAACCATTATCGTGCAAATCCAGTCGAACCAGCAATCTCATGCATAAATTGCACACACTACTTACTACACAAATCAACTCATGCTTAATACTCATCTACTTGAGCATGTAAAATCTCATTTTTAACACTCTTTTACCCGATAAAAAAAAACAAAAAATGCAAGGTTTTCTTGCGACTTTCCCATGTCGTGGTATAATGAGATGCAGGACAATACGTCTATTTACCAGCTCATTAATCTCACTATAGTAACCTAGCAAACCATGTCACTACAACAATCATTCAATTACTTTTCTACTAGAGTAAATTCAATAATCAGTCTGACATCAGCACAAAGCAATGTTTTCATTCTTTATAATAATAATAAATGATCATTTGTTATGGTTATTATTATTGGTCTTACTAAATCATTTTAATCATGATTCAATTCAGTTAAGGCACCTGTCTGATTAAAACCCCATTCCTAACATTTTCAAACCAACGATAAAATTTGGAGGGAAACTTAAATTCATACAATTCCCACAGACTTTTTGTTTAAATATTTGGATCTAGAAAAAAGGTAAAAGTTTGTAAATTTTTTGTTCTGTGTTTGTGATGCACTTAAATGTTTTAACGCTATATTCGTTCTCATAGAAAGGTACTTTGTACTATAAACAAATATCCTGTCACCTTTGACCATTGTGCATATCAGTAGTTTTATAGATATTGCTATCCATAGTCAACAATATCATCACTAAAACAAATACTCATCAATATACTGTATCATAGGTAATTTCAGCTTTAGAGACTTTCAATTTCAGAGACAATGGAAAGTAATTTTTTGAGTATAGGACTACCATATTTGGTATCTAGAGGGGCTATATCATTAACATTTTTGCACTTTAGCCCCAATCATGATGAAGCTGAAGTGGTTGTCCATCTCCAGTCTCCCAACAACCTGAGCAATTATAATATAGACCACAAAAGCATTGATAACCCGGATTCTATTACATCGATGATCTAATATATATTGCATTTTTTTTTTTTTCTGATCACTTGGAGATGTTTGAGGTTTAAGATACTTAAGGCCCTAGATTAACTGCTTTGGCCTCTGGATGCTTTGGGACCCTACATGCTTGGGGCCCTATATACACACTTGAATGCCTGGATTGGATATTAACACTGGAGCTCTGGACAGGTTCTGGTCCAATGGCACCTTATCTCACTACTGCTACACCACTGAATAAAAATATTCTGTATCAATGGAGGATAAAATTACTGTACATGTTATAATCTGGTTGAATTTAAAATTGAAAGAAAAATCAGCTGTTACAATACCAATAATTGCTCAATCAGATATGATAATGCAGACAATGATGAGTTGAGGAAACTGTTGCTATGGCAACCCAACATCCTGGATACAGATCATTCAATGTAGTGAGCTTTGCCTAGTTGTCTAAATAACTTGTGTCTTGCATTTTTATTCTCATGAAAGTTCTATATTGTTGCTAAGCAGGTGTTACAGGAATGAATGATATCACATCTTTTATCCTTCTAATTGCTCCATCATTTTTAAAGAATTCTGGATTGTAAATTTCAAAAGAAACTCCCATGGCAACAAATTAGTTTGACTAGTGGGTTAAAATAATAAAGAGATTTTGTTCTGCATCTGGGATTTAATGTAGTTCTACATTCCTATCTTTTGCTTCCCCCCCCCCTCCCCTGGCCCAAAGCAGCCTATACTTCTGAGCACTGATTAGAAGTCAGGATAAACAATGAACCAGGACAAGCTTGACAGTGAGCACTCATCCCCAGGCCCCTAAATCTCTCCAATCCCTCTTCATAAATGTACTACCTTGTTAAATTCCCATCTACAATCTAAATTATTTATCCTGTTAATTATTCTGTATATTCTACTTTTTATGTGAAAGCACATTACAGTATATGATATTATTTTAACTACAACTACTACAATTTAATATTAGTAGTATTAAAGGTATAGAAATTTAAATTAATTTAATCTCTCCTGTTTGATTGAAACAGCATGATCCCAGATGGAGAATAGAGAAAGGAACTTCCCCTTCCCAGTATTCTCAAGTAATTCTTCCAAAAATGTTCAAACATGGAAACTTAATTTGAAAAATATAATATAATTACTCTATATTGTCTGAATTTTATATTCAAAAACAATTTAATTGTAGAAAATATTTGCCTCAATAACGAATAGAAGAAAAATAATATTAAACCTATTTTATATGCTTTGCATAATGTATTACTGTATATTATCATCATTCATCACCTATAATACAGTGCATCACAGACAAGTAAACATCAACTGGACATGACAGAAAAGTAGGCCTACCCCTGTACAAGTAGGCCTACCCCTGTACTGTACAACATGAGACTTGGCCTTTGATATTGACTACAAAAAATATTTCCTATAAAAAAAACGTAATGATAAAAACCTAATAATAAGAATGAACTAAACTAAGTGATCAGCTTTGGTTTACTTATTTACAGTTTATTTATTTATTTATTTTATTTAATCTTTCTTTATACTGTAGGCACTTTAAGTACTATAGCACTGATTTTCAAAGAGGTACAGAGACAAGAAACATATACAGTTACTATTAAACTTAGCCACAGAAAAACAAAACACAGGTTAAGTTTGGAGAACAATTATTAATATAATTGTTAGATAACCAAATAAAACTGAAACTTTATTCACCTGTCTGTCTCAATTTGTGGATGTACTACAAATTTCAGCATTCTGCCTTAACCAATGAAAGTCCACATATTTACAATACAGGCAAAATAATCCAACAGAGAAATCGAGAACCATCATCAACGCTAACAAATACCTAAATGAAAGCCACAATTTACTTCCACATCAAAACTAATTGTTATTTTTTTAGGTCCGACTACAATCTCACTGATTTTACACTCATTTGATGTTCATTTCCACCTGGCTGGTTCTATAAGAGTAAGTGCAAAGAACAATATTCTTTTAGTCGCAGACGTTCACCTATGGAGTAGAAATGCGATGAAGCAAATGCAAGATCCCTTCTTGACAGCTTCCAAAGATGGAGTAACTTATTGATTTTTTACACGCACAAACAAACCAAAGCACCTGTACCTTCTCCTGCAATATCCAATTCCATTCTTTGCAATCAAAATATCTGTCATAAATAATTCAAAATTGATGTAATAAAGCAACACGAAAATATTAGTTAAAAAAGCAAATGAATATGTTCCAAAAATATTCTGCTCATGTATGCTAAAATATTTTTGTATTGATTATGTTTTGTAAGTAGCTTTAGGCTTTATATGGTAACCATGACTACATTAGTTTTCATAAGATGCTCTATACTAGGATCACTACACTTCCTTCAACTGTTTTTTTAATCAAATAAATTATTATGTATTTTTGCACCTGCATGTTAAGGATAGTGGAAACGTACACCCTATTAACATTTTAAAAGGCTACATGTGTAAAATAATCAGTAAAGCTCTATCCACACTATCAAATTTACTTTGACAAAAAAATGTGACACGTCCATATATAGTAATGCTATGCCTATATATGGTCATGCTGTGATGTCATCATGCCCATATA